AGACTTATCTCTACCTTCTCCTAAAGAACCGGGCCTGGAAGATCGTAGCTGTTAGGGTTAAACCTGAACAGCCTTAGTACACACCTCGATATATTTGTTAATGGTATGTCTCCATTGCCGATTGCTCGTTCCCACGTTATCGTCAGCGGGGAACCTCAGACCGAAAATATAGCACAAAACCGAACTCTGGACAAGCGTGGCACTGGCCCGGATCGGTGGGGGCCATGATAAAGTGTCCCTGCAATAGAAATTCCTCAGCTACAGTATTCTGTGCCCTCACTGTCTCATGGTTCACCGTCTCCCTCCCTCCCACCCGCCGGAACCCCATGCTACATAAGCACACCTCACCAGATTTTCATGGCATTTGTGGGATTTGGGGTGTTGGTCTTCTGGCAGTTCAGTATGCAGATATGGCAAAACCAATTTTACCTGCGGTTAAGAATGACCATAAATGCAAAGTTAAATCCTTTTGATGCCTATAAAGCACAACCTCAATAATAATATAAATAAATACTCACATCTGAACGGACAAGCACAAGCCTAATGAGGTCATTGTCCCTGGTGCCTGCGCCAGCCATGGTTTCATAGAACCACTTTGCAAACAACGTATTCTTGTCCTCGGCGTACTGAACTAAAAGGCAGAACGGTAATCCTTTCAGATTCTAACGGTGAAGAGGAGGAAAAATTTAAGCTTAAACCCTCGAGCACTAGCATAAATTTGTTTGCCGTTTTTATGTATTAGAGTGGTGTAGGTGAATGGAATAGCCTCAGCAGGGCTAAGTTGTGTTATAGGGAAGCCTAAGTGGTCCGGGATGGATTTTAAGGGATCCTCCGTGTGTCTTTCGTCTGTAGACGGGTAGTGATGTGTGGCCTTGCTTGCGCAAAGCATACTACACTGCGTATCTGCATCCCCAATCGCTTAGAGCCTCGATCTGTTGGCGTTCCAGGCAATTCATCGTCGAGTAAATACATGTTTGAGGCCCTGAGCACACCGGGCTTGCCTTGGTTTTATGTTTTGGGGGTTGGGTATGCATGTAATGCCGGGATAGTAGTCACTTTGCCAAATGGATAGTCGCGTCAAAGTTCCCGCTGTGCTGACTGCATCTGGCACTCTGCGTGCACGCACTTCGATTCGTCAAACGTTATATAGAAAACTATGCATTTCACTCCAATGTTTCGGCAGAGTCGTTGCGTGGATGGGTAAGCCTAGGTGGTCCGGGATGGAT